CTTCAAGCTTTTAAGACCCCAGACGCTATATCTTTTGATAGCTGGGCACCATCAGCTTTCTTCACCACATTTGCTTATTCACCCGCTTTATCTTCAGCAGTTGTGTCAGGAAGGTGAGCATCATAGAATGCCAATTTAATAGAAGAAAGTATTCTTGCATTGATGGAGTACTTGAGTAGAGGACCAATGTTAGGGACCCTTAATAAATGGCTTAGATATACTGTCAAACGTGAAAAATACTGTCTATCTCCCTGATGGGAAACTGAACACTGGTCTCCCATATGACAGCCAGGGATACTCACCACTATACTAATGAGGAAGAAAAAAAATCAATTAATTTGAACTATGGTGTTGGTGAAGAATATTGAAAGTTCAAACCATGGACTGCTAAAATTTGCACAAACAGATCTGCTTTGGTAGAAGTACAGCCAGAATGTTGCTTAAAGGCAGGGATGACGAGACCTTATTTCACATACTTGGGACATGTATCAGGATAGACTGGTCCATTGGTAAAGTGGAGGGACTCCAAAAAAGAAGACTTTCCCCAAGATGAATTGACACAGTGGCTGCAGCAGTGCGCTCAGACACAAGCACAATTGTGAGGACAACGCAGGACCCGGCAGTTTTTCATTCTTTTGTACCCTGGGTCACTATGAGTCAAAATGACTGATCTGCACTTAACAACAACAAACATGAAAAACAAATGGCTGAAGACAAAATAGATGATGGATCTCCTAAAAATTAGACAGTTACAGGCACCAAAGGATTTCATCAAAGGAATAAAAAGAGAATCCACAGACTAGGTAAAAAATTTTGACAATGATACGTCACACAAGGGACAAACTTAGAATAACAAACATCTCAACAAGAAAAAGACAACTCAATTGAAAAATGGGCAGGGACAATAACAGACATGTCACTAAAGACATTCATGCAGTCAGCAAACATGAAGAAATGTTCGAGATCATTAGCCATTCAAGAGATGCAAATCAAAACATCACCACATTCTAGCATTAATAGCACAGTCCAAGAAAACAACAAACGCGAGCTAGTGTGGAGAGAATCTTGCAACCACTGTGGAAAGTGGTATGGTTCCTCTGTCTCAGCAATCCTTTTATTTAGTATATATCCTAGAGAAATAAAGAGCTATGACAGGAATTGATATATGCAACAGATTCATGATAGCAAAAAGATGAAAACGACCTAAAATACCATCAACGGGAGAGTAGACAAGTAAATTTTGATACACAAAGTTGAATACTATATAGTGTTAAAGAATAATGAATCTGAAACACCTCATTACATGGATGAACCCGCAGAACATTATGCTGACTGAAATTAGTCAATCAAAAAAGGTCTTGTGCAGCACTTACCCAAGGCAACACCTCTTTTGATCTTTTGACTACTTCCATGAGCATTGATTGTGGATCCAAGCAAGAAAATATCCTTGACAACTTCAGTCTTTTCTCCACTTATTATGCTACCAGCAGTGAGGAGTTGTGTCTTTTTTACATTGAGTCATAATTCATAGTGCAGGCTGCAATTCTTGATCTTCGTCAGCAAGTGCTTCCAGTCGTCACTGTCAACCATCAAGGTGGTGTCATTTGCATATCTCAGGTTGTTAATAAGCTTTCCTCCAATCTTGATGCTGCATTCTTTATATAATTCAACTTCTCTGATTATTTACTTAGCAAAAGGCTAGAGGTTAGATCTACTGTTGATTAATTTGGCCGAAGGAAAAGGCAGCATACAGTAAGAGGGAGATATCCAACAACGGATGAAAGCAGAGCAAGGCATTGGGGAGGTCTGCAAGAGTTCAAAGCTACGAAGACTAAGGGGAAGGAGAGGGGAGCAAGGGGGAACTGATCACAATGATCTACATATAACCCCCTCCCAGGGGGATGGACAACAGAAAAGTGGGTGAAGGGTGACATTGATCAGTGTACGACATGAAAAAAAATACTAATTAGAAATGATCAAGGGTGAGGGAGGGTGGGGGAGTGAGGG